ATTTTATACAATTGACAATAAAATAAAAAGGTTAGAATGATAACACTTTCTCATTACTGAGATACAAAAAATTTCATAAAGGATAAAATGTCTTCAATTCATCTCCACTCAACGTTTGAGGAACTTTTTCCCGTGTTGGTTTTTAGCTTGTATGCTCAAAGGGAGGCCCGCTTGTCAATGATGAATGGCCCGGTCCATGTCTGGTCACGCTTTCCCATGTCTTGTTCTCGCTCGGCTATGTCGGTTTTCTTCAACACGAAGTCTCTAGTGATGAAAGTCTTCTTTGATATACTTGTTATAATAGTGAGATGTTCATCACTTCACTTCTATATGTCGAAGGCTGAGTTGACTCATTTCTCCACCAAGTCAATCTATTTTTTTCTAATGTTGAGGTTGTCACCACTCTTTGGTTTTGATGATTATATTTGAATGGGGTTAGCCTACTCACCTTGGAAGGTGTCGTTCAGACTGCCTAGAGAATAAATAGAAGGATCTTAACTCAGTTTCCCTTACTTCCTTCATCCTTTTTTCCCAGTAGATTTAGGATGATCTTGTTGTCTACTTTGGTCTACCCATTTATTCTAAGGTGATGAACAAACACAAATTGTAGGTTGATCTCCTGGCTTTGGCAAAAATGTTTCACCCCTAGTTAACAAATTGTGTTATGTTGTCTGTGATGATTACAGGTGGTAGCCTATATAGACACGTTAGACAAGTCCAAATGAATTTTAGAATGACCTTTATGGTGGTTTAAGTGATCTTCTTATCCTTGATCTACTTTAGTAATCCACCTTGAGCAGGAATTTGTATTGGCCTCATGGTGAGGGAAAGGGTTCGAGGATGTCGAGTTCCCAAATGGCGATAGGTCATGTTCTGACAATGGGATACAGATGAGTCAGAAGGTGCTACAGCAGTGTGTATTTCTATGATTTCTTGTATCTCCTTGACAATCCCTCGACATCTTTTTAAAGCTTCAGCCTAAAATAACCCTATCATTGCACTCGGTGTGCAAATTTTTTTCCTTCACAGTAGATCTCGCAGTCTCCTGAATGTATCTTTTAGAGGAAATCCTCTCCCTCGTCTTCTTTTATACATTTCAGATAAAAAAAATGTCTGTTCTCCAAAAAAGCATTCCCTCAATCATTAGACATTGGATTGCCTTGATTTTGAGGCGCATCGAATCATTAACTTCTTCTAAGACATGATATAAGGATGTACCCAGCAGTTTGTCCCTTTAACTTCTAACTCGATCATTTTGGCTTCCTAAATGGATGGTTAGATAATCTTTTGAGGTGTTCCCTCCCCCAACCAGATGCACTTGAATAAGAGGTCAGCCACTTGATTTTCCGCTCAGAAGATGTATTTGATCTTGACGCGTTCAAATTTTCCTATCTCTATTTTAGTTTTACTGAGATAATTGGTCATCTTCTCATCTCTAACACTGAATTACATGTTCACTCGATTCACCACCAGTTGTGAGTTATATTTTACCAAGAGGTGTCAAGCGTACATGTGGTAAGAGAATTATAGTCCGATGATCAAAGTTTCGTATTCAAATTGATCATTCGTGACTTTGAATCCAACTTCAATTAAGTGGTAGAAATGATTCTTGAATGGATTAGTTAGAGCCAAACAGGGGTCCTAATTTGAATAGCTGTTTTGGTGATGTGTAGGACTCAAGTATGGTTATCAGTAACCACTTCTTCTCCGACTTTCTTGGTATAAAAAAATCAGCCAATAAATTAGTTATGGCTTGTGCTTTGATATAGTGTGGAGCACGTAAGAGAGATTAAGCTCATTTAGTTCCACTGCCTTTTTATGAAGCTGATCAGACTCAACCTAGTGAGCACAAAATTGAGCAAGTGGTCGGTGATGATCCCGATCTGCTGTGTTTAAAAGTATTGATAAAGTATGAGGGTAGAAACAAAATAATGAGTGCAAACATTAATTTTCCATAATTGGATATCTGAGCTCAGTACCTTGGATGACTCAACTAACAAAGTAAATCGAGAACTAATTCCTTAGCTCTTCTCAGAAAAAACTGAATTAATGGCTTCAAATCCAACCTCCAAGTATAGGGAGAGCTCTTTGTTAGGCTTTGGATTCTGGAGTAGCAATGGTGATGTTGGGGAGTCTTTTAGCTTTTTGTATGATTGTTCACATTCAACCGGCCAAATAAAGTCCTTTGCTTACCGTAATGTTTTTAAAATGACAATGTGCTTGTCGTTTTATTTTGAGATAAACCATCTTAGTTATATAATCCATTTAAGCAATTTTTGAATTTTCTTAGTGTTTCAGAGGACATATTGATCAGTGCCTACACCTTTTATTGATTGGCCCTTACTCCCTTCAGGTTTAGGAGGTAGTCTAAAAATTTGCCTGTGAATTCCCTAAGGGTGCACCTTGAGCTTACTGAGCTTCTTATTAAATTTTTTAAGTATCTCAAAAGTTTCTTTTAGATTTTTTATGTGTTGTTAGGCATTTGGTTTTTCACAAAAAACAACATCCACATACACTTTAATATTTTCTTTTTTTCTGTTTTGCAACGATTACATCCATCATTCACTGGTAGGTAGCTTTAACATTTTTTAGCACAAAGACCATTGCATGATAAGAATACACTCCCTCTCTAGAATAAAATTTTATCTGCGGTTGAATGTATTTTGATTTGGTGGTAGTGAGAGAATGTGTTAAGGAAACTCATTACAGAAAAGCTAACCATTGCATACATGATCGCATCAATCCAAGACATGGAGTGGCTATCATTCAGGCAGGTAGTGTTCAAGTTTGTGAAGTCCACATACATCCTGCATTTGCCATTTGACTTCTACATCATGATAATGTTGGCACCCACGATGGATACTAGACCTCTCAGATATAGACAACCTCCAGTAATTTTTGAACCTCCTCTTAGATCAGCTAGACCAGAGCGATGATTGATGAACTCATCTTTTGCTTCATCGGCCATGCAGTTGGATTGAAGTTAAGGTGACGACACACGGCATCATTCAGTATCCTTTGCACTTCAATGGTGGACTAGGTGAAAACGACTTGGTGGTCACGGAGGGTATCGATCAACATATCTTTGCACCCTTCATCATAAGATTTACTTATTAAAAAAAACTTTTCTTGTTTTGTCCTCCATCGCCAAGAACTGATGGTAATCTCGCTAGTCACAAGACCCCATTCTCTTAGATTGTCGAGCTTGACAGACTTTTGCTCAGAGATTCTGACCGCATGGAGGTAACAAGTGCAAGACTACTCTAGGTCACCTTATATGGTGATTAACTCATCATTGCCTAGGAACATGTGATAGGTTGAGGTGATGACTATGAAGGAGTTAAAAAGGGGACGACTGAAGATAACATTGTAAGTAGGTGGTGAAGCGATCACCATAATTTTTTAAACGTTGGTTAATTGATTATCATTTTCTACCCAAGTGATTGACAAAGTAATGGTTTCTAGGACTTCCTCTTGCCAGAAAAACTACAAAGTGGGCTTATTGTCGTGTCAGTCAATCATGTCGAGACTCATCATATAAAACACTAACTTGTACAAGACATTCGCGGCGCTGTTAGTGTTGATAAGAATGCTACATATCTGGTAGTCGTCGATTAATGTAGTGACAATGATGCATCATTATAAGGATTACTCCTATAGGCACTCTTCATTAGTGAAGGATATGGGGGGTTGTGAGCTACATTTAAGAGTGAAGGTGGAGGCACATAGCTCTTCTGACTGAAGCCTCTTCTTGTTGGCTTGAAGGGATGAGTTTCCTCCTACAAAAATGGTAGAAACTATGTCAGTGATGTGGATTGTGTGGGTTCAAAGTGGCTCATCCAATATATCTTTCACTAGAGATTTCCTCTGTTGTTGGGCATTGCTCCTGGAGCCACAAACTCCTTAAGTTTTTATGCTTGATCAGCTCTTCAATCAATTCTTATTAAAGGTGTCGACATTCCTCCGTATCATGCATATGGTTTTGATAGTAAGCATTTTACTTCTTATGGTCCAATAGGTAAGCTCCAGTTTTGATCTTGGGTGCTCTCCTGAAATAATCTTTATTCTGAGTGGCCTCCGCTATTTTGGTCATCGAAACTCTCAACAGAGTTGTCTTGAGTGCTTCATATTTGGGCAACGGGTGCTTGTTAAACCGAACTGGTTGCTGGTCAGGAGACCATACGTGACTCCTTCAGTAGCATGTTTGTTGGTTGCCTCGTGGTCTTGGGATAGCCTCGCGTCTTCATAGTGAGGGTGGGCGAAAGAGTGAAGAGTGTGAATTACGTCTCAGTCTCCACCAATTATACTCCTTGATTGATATGTGATTGTTGGTCAACTCCAACAACTCGACCTGCATCTTCAGTCAATGCAGACCCAGCACGTACAAGATATTCTTGGTATTTTACTTGTACGAGCTTATCGTATGGCTGCTCTCTAGGTTTTTAATTTAATCTGTCTTGGTTAGTTGAGATCCGCTCAGCTGGAGGGGATCGATTTGATCGACTGAGTTTGGTTGGTATGATTAAACTAGTTGATATGGTTCAGCCATCGATCCTTAACCTCTTATAAGGAGCCTGTGGATGCCTCTGGGGTGGTTGGAGATGTAAAGAAACTAGATCTTACCTAGATCTCGGTCTGTTCTTATATCCTTCGGTCATCTTTGGACTGTCTCATGGCACAGTCAGCTTTGGTCTTAATAGCTTTGACTCTAATAGCTTCACTCGGTCGTAAAAGTTGGTCTCATAATCTTCTGTTGGCTGACCCTTTTTCATCTTTTTTTTCTCTTTTGAACCATCAGATTACCTTAGGATCAACGTTAGCTTTTTTTTTTTTTTTTTTTGACATCAACATTACATGAGAAGGAATTTTGTAACTGAAGCATACTTCCTTTTTAAATTATGCTCCAGAGGACCACATCACTGTGGAAAGCAGATGCCCAAAAAAATAGGATAAAAGAGGATAAGAAGAAAGAGTCCAAAACAACAAATTTTCTTCACTTCCTTCCCTCATTGTGAATTTTAAAGCCATTCAGATATTTCAGAAAAGGACTCCATTATTCAATGAAGTTAACCTCCACTGCCTGCTTCTCCTAATCAAAGCTCACACTCATAGTTTCTCACTAAATACAGGTAATTAATTTAATAACTTTAGCACTAATCTCACAAAAATTAAGCAAAAAGGCACCCTTTTTATCATATTTCTTAGCATTTATCAGCACTTGCAACCTTAAGTCTCTTCACTGTTATCAAGAAATCTCTGTTCAGAAAATAAGAAATACTGAACATCAGTGAAACATGAAATTAACTATTTTTCATAGGATGATAAAAAAAAAAATGAAAGTTAAGGAAACTTTGTGGCATAATGATATTATATATAATTATTTTATTTGTAACAATTATTGATGGCAAAAACTCTGCCTTTTTTGCAAAACAAATCATAAACTAATTAGATTATAATTTATTAATTGGTGCAAGATCTTACTCCCAAGGAACATCCCCCACCATCATCCAATCACCTTCATGATCCTCATAAGTGAGCACATAACTCTTTTCTGAAACTATTCCACCAAGATCAGATGCTGCATGCAACAAATTAATTAATTATTCAAAACAAATCAATATATAATAATCATTAGTAATAAATAAATAAATAAAACTAATTAATTACTATTTAAGAAAAAAAAAAGGTTCCTCACAGAGAATGAGAGCAGCAAACATATTGGAAATCTGCTCTGTCAATCCATTATATCCATCAACAGCATATAAATCTATTTTTCTGCCAATCGGAATCCCATCCATATATACTTTGATGAAAAATGAGGGGGTTTTCTGCAATTTTTTCCTCTGTTTTACTGCAGCTGACATGATATTTTTTATTGGCGGCCAGTTCGCTGGTGGATATTGCTCTCTAATCAAAAAGTAAAAATAATAATAATAAACTGATTAGGGTTTTCAGACAGAATGAAGAAGAAGAGGAAGAAGATGGTGTAAAAAAGCTACCTTTGGGTGCGGAAATTGTTCTGCTGCAGATCAGAGGTCGGATTTGAGATATGAAGGGCGAGGCTTAGCTCTGTGATTTTATAATCTTCTGTGTTGTTAGAGGGAGGAGGAGCAGAAGGATGGGTGCTGGAGCTGTCTGAGGAAGAAGATGGTGATTTGGCTTCGGTTTCCATGGTGAGAAATATTTCTTCTCACAGAGAATAACGAAGAAAAATGGTGAGTTTTTTAGAACTAGGAGAAGAAAATTGCTTAATATAGGTGATGTTGGCACGTGGCATTGGTTTAATGGTGGTTTAATTTTTTATTTTTTTTATAATTAATGGTTTTATTTGGGCTGAGTTTAAATTTTCAAAAAAATTTATGAGATTTGGGCAATTTATTTATTTTTTATTTTTTAAGGATTGATATGAAGATAATTTAAATGACTTTTGAAATTGAATTAATTATTCGATTTCATATTAATTATGAATCTGCAAATATGAAGCTTATAATTGATTTTGAGTCTATTTAGGGCAGCGACAGTTTATTGAATAATCTATTGAAAAGTTTCCACCGCACCTAAATAGGTGCGGTGTGAAAAAACTGTTTTCGGCGTTTTGAAAATGCATAAGCTGCCAAAACGCATTTCACCCAAACAGGTCATGTGTGTTTTCAAAACATCACCGCACCAAATAAGCTGCCCCAAACGGACTCAAATATTTCATACAAAAGCTGAGTTTTAATATGAATTTAATAATATTTTTTTTATAAAAATACATAAATTTATAATGGTATTATATATGCATGCTTTGAGCTGATTGTTGAAATCAAATTTTGAATAATTAAATTTGGTTTGAATTTTTTTTTTCCTGCCAAAGAAATTGACGTATGACTTCAAACAAGTTGACTTTTATTTACAAAAAAAAAAAAAATCAAATTTTTATTAAGGGCAAAAATCTAAAATTTTATGTGAAAACTTCTTCATGCTTATAAAACTTTAACATAGCCTTATCAGTCATAAACAATAGATTTATCTCTTTATATATATATATATATTCATTAAAACTTGGTGGCCGCCAAAGTGATTAATTAAGTCAAAACTTGAACTATAATATCATCTTTTTCAATACTAATGATGTTTAGTATATTTTAGGTTGATGATAATCAGTAAGGCAGCAAGTTGTGGTTTGCCAAATGGTATGTTCCCTCAGAAAGGCCAAACACACATTAATGGAATTGCCAATAAATTTCAAATGTTTTCCTACTTGTGGCCGGACATAAAACTAACTTGCCTTATTCTGTCTCTTCATTTCACAGCTCATTTAGATAAATTTATAATTATATATTATGTTATATATTTACTTTATAATAATCATATGATATAAATGTATTATTTTTATGATAAATAATTATATAAGAGATGAGAAAATAAAATCCCATAATTAATTTGATCAAATATAAGGTGTTATCTTTATCAACTAAAGCTTGACCAATGAGTAAAATTAAAGAAGAAATGAACAACTCTAAGAAAAAAATTTACATAAAGACCCCACAAAATTGAAGAAATGAAAATTTTCAAGGAGGCAAGCGATCTACTCCATCTACACTTATTATTATTGGTATTATAATTATTAAAGATAGGATTTCTTTGCTTACAAGCCTAACGTTCTCAAAGTACTTGAGACAAGATTTCTTCACAAGAAAGGTCAGCATGAAATGAACTCTATTCCTCCAAGGCTTATTTACACAAAACACCCTTAATATTATTTTAATTCAATTGAGTATTTTCTTATAAATGCATGCCTAAACAATTAATTTTTATTTTACTTTATTTTAGTATATACACACACAAAGGGCTCTATGATTATTAAAATTTGAAAAAATTGGTAGAATGTCACGGACAAATAGTCCCACATCGGCTAGGTGTAGGGCCGGAAAGCAGTATTTAGGTCCTGGGCTACTCACCTCTCTTAAGAGCTATTTTGGGAGGTGACAAGAAGGTATAAATACATGCTTGTGCTATACACAAAGAATTTTGTATTATGGACTTGGGGAATAAAGGGAGCGAGGGAGAGGGAGAGGGAGAGGGAGAGGGAGAGGGAGAGAAGAGAGAGAGAGAGACAAGAACAACTTTTGCAAGTGTGACAACCAACCTTTTGTCTTGTTATTATTTTGATCTTCTCTTTATTACTAAAGAAGCCCACATGTTCCCTTGAATGGAAATCTATATAAATATATTTCTAAATATATATTCATTATCATATGATGCGCACTTATGTGATAGAGGTCTCATGTAGGTGCTAGACATGATATTCATTAAATCACTACTAATAAAAATTAGTTTTTTACAACGGTTACTTAACAACATTATTAAAAATTGCTGCCAAAGGTTATATACGACAAGGGTAAATTTTAATAATTAAGATATCTTGCATGATTTCTCATGATGTTCTCTCATTTGAAAGTTATTCTATATTCCAAGCAAATATCTATTAATAAATTTCTATTAATTGGTAATGTATGCATGTAAGGGTACATTTTGTCTTGCACTGTTATAATGCTATAATTATGCAAGATGCATATGAGTTAGCAAAGAACACAATTCATAGCATTATATACATTGGAGTTTCAGGGACCTCAACAAATATTGCAAAAAATTCATGTTTTGATTATGAAAAATCTCATCTACTTCCATCAAGTGATGATCAACATTTTAGGAAGTTTTTAGAATATGCGGGAGCATGCAGAATTATATCATAGGTGTAAGTCTTTCATAAAATTATTATTTATGATACATTTATTGTTTGAAAGTATTTACATTCATGAACTGCAAGATTTTGTGATATGCTATTCGAGTTATTGGTCGAAGCCTTCCCAGTAATATTTCATTGTCTGAGAGCACATATGAGGTGGAAATGAGGGTGAGAGCATTCAATGTTGGCTATACAAGAGAGATTCATGTCCTAATGACTAAATACTATTTTAGAAAGAGATGCCTTATCATGATATATATGATGTTTGAGGCGCATCAAGATGGGACAAAACTTAAAATAGAAAAAAATATTAGTGGAGGAAAGAAAATTCACATGAAAGCAACAAAATTTGTCCAATATTTTTCGTTGATTACTGAGGTTATTCGAAACAAATGAATTTATATTGGAGATGATTGGCATGTTAAATACAAAAATAAAGATGATAAGTTATGATATTCAACTGATGGAGAAGCCTGAAAAATTGTTTGAATAAAAGTTTTCTGAATTTGTTTCAGATCCACCTAATTTTCGTCGTTGTTTGATTATTGATGGTTTCAATCCATTCAAGTAGCAAATGCAACCAGATTATCAACTACTAAGAGGATCACATATGATATATTATTTCGTAAGTACTTAAATATTTTCGGTGTTTTTAATCATCATAATATTATTAGGTGATTGTGTGATTATTATTATTAATAAGGATGCAATTGTTAAGATTAATGACCCATTAACAAGTATATTTTAATAAGCTTTTTTAAAAATGAGGAGGATGTTTGCATATATAAGACAAGTAATAGAATTCTGATTAGTTGAGACATAGTTAAAGAAATTGTTTTCACAAAGGTAATCTATAAGGCAGGAGGAGGCGTTTTTTAGAAGTTTTAGTAGGGGAAAGGAGAGATGACCTTGTATTATTCCATTAGAATAATTGAAGAATTTACAAAAGAGTGTCATTAGTGATGCTTGAGAAGTACAAATCTAAGATGCAACCTTTAACCCATTTAACAAATTAACATGGAATGCCCTTTCAAACAACTATTGTAAGCAAGTACTTTCGATTAAAAATGTCAAGTGCCTTCATGTTTTCAATTTTCGACAGCAAGAATGGAGGATGTCATTTATTAGGAAATCTATTCAGGAATTGGGCAAGCATAATCATTTATTAAAAAAATATATTCAGAAATTGGCAAAAAAATCTTATCATCATAGATAATATGCCTTTGGATGAAGGCATCATGAGCATGATGGATGTCGGAATGAAGAATATGTATATGAAGGGTTATGAAAAATCAATGAAGTGAATTGGTATATTAAAATATTATTCAATTAGTGTATTTTGCTAAATATTTTATAAATATAGCTATAATTTGATCTTTAGCTCATATAATATTAATGACATCGTTTTCACAAGAAACATGATTGCTAAATACATGATACATAATCTCAATATGTTTGGTCTATTTGTATTGAATTAAACTATTAATTAAATTGATAACACTAATATTATCTCATTTAACTAGAATATGCTCTAACCTAAACTTATAATCATTTAATTTTTGCATTAAATGACAATACTTATGTTTTCTAATTGTCTCCTATGTTATATTTCACATTTGAAGAGGAAAAAGTCATAAAATTCTCTCTTTTGTTGGACCAACACGTGATGATTCAAAAAATTAACATCTATTTGAGGAGAAATATTTGCGTATGTAAGATGTACGCAGAGTTGCGTACATATTAGGTTATTCAGATGGTACATGTAGGTCAAGAGGTATAACCTAAGCGTAACCTACCTATACTCTCCTAATAACCTAATATGCACGCATCCTTTTTTATTTAATTTTGCACCCAACATAATTCACATTAGGATAATCAACCAAGTCACATGAACAAAAGTTATTGGCATGAAATATGGCAATTTGATCTTGTAATGTCGATCAAATAACTGAATATATGCTTAATTATAATAAAGTGAAATTTTTCAGTCATCTATAAAAGTGAATTATCATACGCTTACAAAACTTTTAATTGGTTGTTTATTTACATAGTCCTACTTCGATAATTTGGCTCATGAATGTCTTAACTTCAAATCAAATTACTTGAGTAATTCATCGATGTCAATCCTTATAATTTTATTAATTAGATAAATAACTAATAATTGTCTTTTTGTTTTATCAAAACATGCTTATATAGCTATATGTAACAGCACACCAAGCTGTGAATAGATTCTGGTGTCACATTTTATTTTATACTTTATCATAATATTGTTGTTACATTTTTGTTATATTTATGACTAGAAGCAACTAGGCAGAGTTCTACTTTGATTTCTTATTAACTCAAGAACTAAAAGTTCAAGCTTTGTGTCGTCTCATGAACAACATGGAGTTTGTCAAATCCATGTATATAATTTTTAGTTAGAATTTTTATTTTTAGATCTCAAATCCATGCCAATTAGGTCTCTTAAAAATTCTTTAACCCAATAGTTGAAGGTTAAAGAAAATTATTTCTCTACGACCCCCCGTTTGAACTACATACTTTATCATTCGCCATTCTAGAACAATAACATTAACCATCATCTATATTATATACCATAAAAAAGCAAACATATGTGATGCATAAAGCTCCTAGTTGTGGAGTCTTCTTCCAAGCATTAAAAATGATGGGGATTGTTGTGATAAGATACCAGTTGTTGTTGAAATATGATACAAATCAAACAGGAGAACGATCGACGACGAAGCGAAAAATTGAATGACAAAAGTCACACCATAAAAGAACAACAGTGGAATACACAGATTTACGTGGTTCGACAAATTGCCTACGTCCACGGAGTTGTAGAGGATTTTACTATTTGAAGAATTTACACCAGTTGATCGTCTCGACTTACAAGAGGAATCTCTCACTTCGTTGTTCTACACCGAGATACACCAAAGGAATTCTACACTGAAATACACCAAAAAAGATAAACTTATAAGAGAAATAACTCAATTTCTCTTCTGCCCCAAGCCACCAAGAAGAAACCAAGGGAGAACAATCTTCTTTTTCTTCTTTCTTCTTCCTTCTACCACAAGGAGCTACTGCTTTCACTTTCCTTCCTCTATCTCGAGAAAGCCCGAAGAAGAACACCAAAAACATGATTTTGAAACCCAAGGAGAGCCATCCGAAGCCTTTATCACGAACAGGAAGGGAACTGTCGCGACAAATGCGACTCTTCGCGAAACAATGAACTGTTTGAAGGAACAGTTCGTGGCCGAGCGAGAGACAGGAGACAGGAGCGGGAGCGGTTCGTGAGTTTGGCGATCTGGAGCGGGATCTTGTAGCGGGAGCAGGAAATTATCCAACTCTACGCTAACAATCTCCCACTTGGAGACCGATACACAAGCTACAAAACAGATATCCTCTACTGGCGGCGTTGACTTTTTCTTCAAACATAAATCCTCCACATCTGCAACTCAAAACCTGTCTTCACTCTAAAAGACCAATTGAAGTTGTGCACAACTTCAATTTCTCAAGAGTAACACCCCCAGTCAACATATCAATAGGGTCCACATAGCCTTGCACCTCCAAGCTATTTTCTGAATTACTCTTATCTTTGCTTACAACTCCCACTGCATGGGCAGTATCCTGCCTCTGTTGAAAGCCTTTTTCGAAAAGTTTAGCCTTATACCTCTTATTGCCATCAAGCTCAGTATTCACCTGGTACACCCACTTGTTGTGTAATGTCTTCTTCCCTGGTGGAAGTTCTGTCAACTCCCACTTGATTGAACTTTCATCTTGCAAGATTTTTCATAGCTCTATGGTTCTCCACCATTTGTTTGTGGAACAATAGGAATGGGTGCCCTGGATCCACTCTCATATTCACTTTCATCATCAACAGAACTATGAAATGCCAGCAATAGTGCATTATGTACTTCTTCAGATACCACATTTGTGTTATCATTCTCCATATTTTTGGGATTCCTGCATTTCCTCTTTATGTGGTCAGCCTTGCCACAATTTCAGTAGATTTTCTGTTGACCATACTTTGATTTTGATCTCCCTATATTTGAGTTCATGTCATGTCATCTTCATGTCATCTCCCTCTGAAACATCTCCCTCTGAAATCAACATTCAGTGTCGAACTTAAACCTAAAATCTTGTCAGAATATTTCATGCGCACCTCCTCGGCCAAAATTAAATCACGAATATCATCACATTTCAGTTTAGATTTACCTGTAGAAATGCTAACTGCCATCCTCATGGTTTCCCAACTATTTGACAATGATGTCAGCAATATCAGCGCACGTTTCTCATCATCAAAATCAATTTCAACATACGACAATTGATTTGTGATAGTATTGAAATCATTCAGGTGTTGAGCAATAAAAACACATTCTACCATCAACAGAGCAATAAAAACACATTCTACCATCTTCAAGTTGAATAACTTCTTCATCAAGTACAACTTATTATTTGCCGATGTATTTTCATACATACCTGATAAGGCTGTCATGAGATTTGCAGTCGTCCTCTCCTTGACGACATTTTGTGCAACGGACATCGATAGGGTCAATCGAATAACCCCCAGAACTTATCGATCCAACAAATTCCATTCAGCATTCAGCTTCATCCATGGTCTTTTCCCCAATAAGGAAAGATGAAGTTTATTCTCATAGAGGTAGTCATCTATTTGCATCCTCCAATAACTAAAATCTGTGCCTTCAAATTTCTCGATCTCTGAAACCTTCACTTCATCTGCACCCATCATTCTTCTTCAGATCCGTACAAAGCTCTGATACAAGTTATTGTGATCAGATATCAGTTGTTGCTGAGATATGATACAAATCAAACCGGAGAACGATCGACGGAGAAGAAAAAAATTGAACGAGGAAATTTACACCAGAAAAAAACAACAGCGGAATACATAGATTTATGTGGTTCGGCAAATTGTCTACATCCACAGAGTTGCAGAGGATTTTACTCTTTGAGGAATTTACACTAGTCGATTGTCTCGACGTATAAGAGGAATCTCTCACTTCGTTGCTCTCTCTTCTTCTCGCTCTGTTCCTCTCTCTCTACACCGAGATACACCGAAGAAACTCTACACCGAGATACACTGAAGAAGATAACTTACAATAGAAATAAACATATTTTCTCTTCTGCCACAAGCCACCAAGAAGAAGCCAAGGGAGAACAATTTTCTTCTTCTTTTTTTTTTCTTCCTTCTACCGCAAGGAACTACTGCTTTCATTTTTCTTCCTCTATCTCGAGAATGCCCGAAGAAGAACACCAAAAACGTGACTTTGAAACTCAAGGAGAGCCCTCTGAAACCTTTATCACGAACAGGAAAGAAACTGTCGAGACAGATGTGACTCTTTGCGAAACAACGAACTGTTCGCGGGAACAGTCAGCAACCGAGAGGGAGACGAGAGCAGGAGCGGGAGCGGGTTTCGTGATCGAGAGCAGGATTCTATTGCAGGAGCGGGAGAAATCAGAGCGGGAGCCGGAAATTATCTAGTTCCAGCGCTAACAGGGATAAAATGTCTTTACAAGTTAATAAAAACTAAAAATGTAAAATATTATGGAAGAGAAACTCCGCATAGAGAATTTCTATACATAGTACTCTTAAAAGCTAGAATTTGATATCTTTTCAAGAGAAAATTATTATGTACAATTGACCACAAGTCCAAACGATGGCCTGAATATAATCGCGCCACCATGAATCGCACAGTGACCCATCCGAACCATCTTCCGATAACTTTCTCAAATCTTTCAAAGCCAAAATATGGATAAGGCTCGTGAAAATAAAAATATTATATTTAAGTTTATATATATATATATGAGACAGTGATGTAGAGTAAAGGTGGGCCTAGTGTCTTCTTTCATGAAAACGTAGAATCTCTCTTACCAGCTAGCATTACAAAGCCCCTCATTTAGTAGCCGTTAACCACAAATTTAAACGGCGACAGCAGTCTGTAACGCTGTCCCAACTCGCGCCAAGTGTTCCTCCCTCTCTCTCTCTCTCTCTCTATCCCACCATTACTTCCCTCCTCTTCCTCTCTCTCTCTCTCTCTCTCTCTCTCTCTCTCTCTCTCTCTCTCTCTCTCTCTCTCTCTCTCTCTCTCTCTCTCTCTCTCTCTCTCTCTCTCTCTCTCTCTCTCTCTCTCTCTCTCTCTCTGTTTTTCTTACAGAGAGATAGCAGAGCAAAGCCACAAAATCATAAACTAGCCACGTTTCCTTCCTCTCCTCCATTCCACTACCACCATATCTCTTTCAGTACTCTTCCTATCACCCATAGCAACAACCATGTCTGCACTTCCGGCCGACCTCCTCCCTCCGCCACCGCCGGAGCCAAAACCAGGCATGCTTCTCCACCTATTCTCTCTTTCTTTCTCTCACATTGATTATTACTTTTCAGAATGATTAGTGATTGTCTATAGGTCGTAGCAAAACGACAATTTACCAAATAAACTGTCGCTTACCGATTGGTAATTTTTCGTTTCGCAGAGGAAAGCGAAGAGGATCTGTTCACCGTTCCCGACGTGGAGTCGTCCGACGGTAATGGATCTCCGGCGGCGTCCGTCGAGGAAAGAAAGGATTCCGACGAAGGGTCGTCGAGGACTAGGAAGGGACGAACTCCGGCAGAAAAGGAGTATAGGAGGCTCAGGAGGTTTGTCTCCCTTCTCTTTAACTTTCAATGTGGGAGGTTTTTTGGTAATTTTGTTGCATAGAATTTTCTTACGTTTTTAAATTTACTTTTAATAATTTTTATTTTTATTTTTAGCCAAATAATCAAGCTGAGATCTTATAAATAATTATATATATTTTAGGAGTATTTTTTAAAAACAAATTCATCAGAATGGGGCCATTTTTGTGCGTATTATTTTTTAAATATAATTAAATTATTTATCAATATATTTTAATTATTATACAAATAAAACGAAATTATAAGATAATGTAACTCAATTGTTAAACATTCAAAATATCTGATAGTTTAGCTAAATTATTCAATAATTTAAATATATTTATTTAATAATTCTGTTGATAATAGGAGCATGCACATGCATTTACATGCACACCACACAAATTTTTATGTATTTATATTTCTAAAACCTAAAGTTTCATGTACATTTACATAATACTCATTATTATTTTCTTTTTAATGGTGGAATACAACTTTTCATGTATAAGTTTATCACACTTAAGTTTTGTAAATATAAATATAAAAATGTAGGAATTTGATATATAAATACATAAATATTTTTAAGAATTTATATAAAAATTTATTTCTGACCGTTTTAAATTTGCTTTATATTATGATGGGATTATTTTTATGCTATCAATTTATTACAAATACAATTAAATTTTTAGACATTCTGGTTATTTTTCTGTGATGATTATGGTAGTGAATGCCTTTATTTATATTATTATATGTAATTGATGAGTATGTCATAACACTATAAATATATGTTTCATAATGATATTTATTTTGTAGTTATGATTTTTGCTATGTCACCAAAACCTTTTTTAATTAATCATGCACGAATCATGATGCTAAAAAAATTATTGTTTAATTTCAGTCATGCAAATTTTAATTTCAAGAAATTTATGGCTAAACTAAAAATCTCGATGAGGCAAACCTAACAACGCTGAATGTGATACAGTTCGACTTAATTGAGCCCAAATCAAGAATTTAAATAAAGAATCAAAATTTTGTCATATTAATTGAAGATCAAATGATCTTTATTCTTTTTTTTTTATGTTTTTATAGTGTTTCAATGAGTGTAATTCAAGAGTGCAAAATCACTTCATTTTAAGATAAACTCTAAAAAAATCAATGAACAAATAAATTAACATGAGCTATTCATTGATATTTTATGATTTTGACTTAGATTTATCAAAATATTGCTTTAAGAAATTATATTTAAATTTCCTTTCTCCATATGTAATGGTTCTAAATTGGGAGAGTACTTAGATATTTGAAGAACTTCAAAGCCAAATCGAATGGCCGCCTACAACTAGAATAGTTTAGCCATCATAGCCCAATTTTTGTTGATGAATCACTTTAATGTGCTCATCATTGTCTAACTATATTTACCGACTAACATTATTCAATGATCTTCACTAAAAGTACCATCATTCAACCACTGTTGACTGTCCATCATCTCTTTATATTCATTTCTCAAATATGTAGTTGAATTATTATCATTGATTACTATCATTGATCATCATCATTTGATCACCATCGTCTAACATGTATTATCTTATCGCCAACTCCTGATCAACGCCTTCACTCAACACTAGTTTTTTTCTGCAGTTCCTACTACTGACACAAAAAATCAAGTTAATATTCTCAATGTTATAATTATATCTTCTCCCAATGAGAAAAAAGGCAAACATCATTATACTTATATAGTGGATTATTGCAACTAGATTAGACCCTTTTTTTCCCTCCTTTTTTGAATTTTTAATATAAAAATTAAGGAATCTCATGTAAGTTTTTTATTTTATTTGAAGGTGTGTGAACTTTTTGTGTAATATTAAAATGTTAATCTCTCACTTTACTAATGCAAATATTATAATAATTAGTAAGATATATCACCTAATGAATACATCCCTCTTTATAATGAAAACAATATATATAATTCATGACTAAATCTATGTACCTAAAATTTCTCCATTGTAAGGGGTGTGCAATTGTTAAATTTAGATGAATCGGTCCTTAAATTATTCAGATCAAGCGAAATCAAAATCCAAAATCTAGAAAAATAAACCAACCAATTTCTCACTAAAATCAATCCAAACCAAACAAAAAATATAATTTAGTTTAATTAGATTGATTTAGAACAAATCAAAATTTAATATGAATTCTAAAATTTTTAGAAATCAAGATTGTAATCCTAAATTAGAACTTTTATATCTCTTTCTTATCTTATCACCATCCCTCGAAAGTTAAACATTTCAATTTATTCTAAAATAAATATTTCTTGTGCTCAATTTAATTTTACCAAATGAATTTAAATTCTAGATCCTAATGCTATCCCATTTTTTTGTTTTCTTTAATGAAGATAAAATTCAATCGGAAAATAAAAATGTGAAACCCTTAAATATCGAGTTGTCTTTTAGTGTCATGGTTGGAATCTCATCATAAACTCCAAAGTTATGGGAGCTCTTATGGGAGCACTCTTGGAGCGAGAGGTCTTTAGGTCAAAGCGAACGATATCTTGATTGGTGAGAGTTCGAGTTGTTACAATTGATATCAAAGCATTACATCAGTCTGAAGATGAGAACTAAGTGTCATACAGTACAAAGTTACGTCATTGGGGTCATTTTTTTTTAACTCTAAATCGTACAAAATGTTATATGGCAGGAGTCATGGGGGTCATCTTTTTTGAACTCTTAAATCTTCTATGATTTGCTTATCTGTATCAGAATTTAAAAGCAAATTTACATATTCTGCATATGAGACTATTTAGTAAACTTGCATCAATTTTCGCGATTTCACAACTAATTACATTCATACCACACAATTATTATGTATTTACATATATCTAACACCAAAACTTTTATTTTTACATATATAGCATCCAAATCCTTAGCATCACTTCAAAAATATCACTATTGCTTACTTTTTTACAAGTGAAATACATCTTCTCATGCAAATATTTATGTCGACAAAGTATTATAAATATATTTATGAAATTTTAAACATTAGATATATAAAATGCTTAAGAATTGTACGTGTGGTATATATATATATATATTTGGTTAGAGGGCCATGATCTCTATTATTATTATTATTATTATTAGTAAGGACATTTACGTGCACACCATGCAATTCTTATGTATTCATATATATATATAGCCATGCATGTAAATATCAAACTATAGTTGTTAGCCATGTAAATTATAAGAATTGTGTGGTATGCTTGCAAATGCGCATCATTGCATCAAAATGATATTGCATCAAAACAATCACAAGCCTGAATTAAAATCTAAATTACGATAAAATATTACATCTGGATAACGGACGTACGAACAACGACATTGAATGCACAGCACCGCTCAAACAACCTTATGGTGCGATCCATGCTGCCAAAAGCATAGCATGGTGCGATCAACTCCGTCGTCCGCTAAATCGGACCTAATATTTTCTCTTAAATGACACAGGATGCTTAGGAATAGAGTATCAGCCCAGCAAGCAAGAGAGAGAAAGAAAGTTTATGTGAACGATTTAGAATCCACGGCCAAAGAGCTGCATGATCAAAACATGAGACTCGAAGGAAAAATTTCGGCTTTGGTCAATGAGAACACCATGCTTCGAAAGGTATATATATGTTAATTTCATATTTATATGTACACACATTTCTTCAACTGTACTTTTGCTCATTTATCTAAGTATTCATGACAGGTTCTGATGAACTCCATGTCAAAGATTGATGACAGTGAGGAAGATAAAGCGAAGGCTGACAAAATTTAAATTTCAGTACCGTTTATTGACATTTATGATCTGACTTTTGCCAGGACAAAGTCTGGAAATAATTATTATATTTGCGGGATGATGTTTACTACTTCCACTTCTGTTTATGTGAAGTTAGAAGAGAAATTTTACGTACATATCATACACTTCCTATGTATTTACATATCTAATCCCTAAGGTTTGATGTTTGCACATTATATTTTTGTGTCATAAGCATGAGGGTTTATTTCATTTTTAAAACGATAATAATTATGGTGTTTTTAGGTCGTCTGATTAAATTTTTAGTGTTATAAATGTAAATATAAAAGTTTTGGCATCTGGTATGTAAATACATAAGAATTATGAGGTATTTATGTACAATAAAATGGTTATTGAGTTACTTAGAAAAAAAAAGATTATTTTTTTAATAATTTGAGTGTCTTAATGACCTCAGAATTGATGTCTCTCCTCTAGACGCTCAATTTGACTATTCATTGACGATCCAAAGTCTCCAAATATGTTTCAATGGCTTGATTGGATCCAGATTGAACTCATTTGATATCATTGAGTTTGTCTTATTGAACGGTCATAAATTGATCTTACATTTAAATTTGAAAATATTTCATAAAAAATGTATCAAAGTTCGTGTTTGATAAAAATTTGTTGATGACGCGTCAAAAATTATGTGGAATGTATGCAAATTAAAATGTGCAATGAGATTCTAAGAAAATATATATATATATAACACAATGAAATATAATTAACCGTGTATATTAATTAATGGGCATTAACCTACATACCACCAACTTTTCTATGTATTTACATATCTAACATCTAAACATTACATTTAACACATTTATACGGCCGATGTCCTTCATATCATATAAAAAATGTTAAGGCAATGAAATATAAACAACCATGTACGTGTATATTAATTAAGAGGCATTGACCTCCATACCACCAACATTTCTATGTATTTACATACCTAACATCTAAACTTTACTTTTAACACATTTGTACTGACTAAATCTTTCATATCACATAAAAAATATAATCATTTTAACCTTTGAAAAATGAAGTACACCCGACACCTTTTAATACATAGATAAAATAATATGTATGTAAATTGTAATTTAGATGTTAGGTATACATAAATACATAAGAATTGAGTGCATTTACATGTATAAAATAGATATATATAAACACATAGATATTTAGGTAGCAAGTTTATGATTATTATGCAAATCTCCTATAATGAAACATAAATAAAAATGAATAATTACATTCATACCATTTAATTCCTACGTATTTACATATCAAACACGTAAACTCTATTTTTTGCATACGTCCCCACCTTATCAATTGCATTAAAATGCGTGTTTCACTTCTTAGAAGTTAATTTGGGTGGTAAATTAAATTCATTAACTTTAAAATTTTATTTACATAATTAGAATTGCGTGGTATATAAATCTCACCATATATATACATATATCTTTTGTGTCTTCGCCTGACTCATTGGTTGCGGTCTTTGGTTTATGTCCCACGGGTCGAGGGTTCGATCTCTGCGTAGGATCGAATTGAACACATGTCTGGAAAGAGGGTCCATCCCTCGGCCAGACTATAGAGTACCAACCTTTTAATATATATATATATATATATATATATAATTCAATTATATATATATATATATATATATATATATATGTATGTATGAAATTGGGAATCTGTTTTCTGCTTCATATTCCCTTCTTCTGTTGCCTGTACCGAAGCTTCACTTTGCAGTTCTTTTTCAACGAGATCACAGTGAAGAACTTCTCATGTATCAGAGCAAAGGTTCCCATCCTATTCTCTCTAATCTCGTATCTCTTCTTACAAATGTCTATCTGCTGACATCCATCAATACTGCAACAATTGAATGACTACTCGGCTCCGGCATAACTTCTCACCTCACATCCAACCTTGAACATCTTCAACTTGCCACACCGTATTATGGTTCCAATTCCGTTCCTATCGGTGATGGTTCGACCCTTCCTATTACCCATTCGGGCAAAGGTATCTTAGCCACAACTCAACGTAAGCTTCAACTCCCTCAACTTCTACATTCCCCGCACCTAACTCACAACCTTCTCTCCGTTTATCAACTCACCTTGGATAATAATTGTGATATTATCTTTAACAAATTTGGTCTTGTCATCAAGGATCGGACGGCCTAAAGGACCAAGCAAGGATGGTCTCTACCCCATCTCCACCTCTTTTACCGCCCAACACCTCGTCATCCTCCACCGCAATATGGCACTGATGGCTTGGCCATCCCCATTTAGCCACTAGTCCCAAAACTATCTCCAGAACATCTACCATTACCATTCCTACTTCTTTCTTTTTTTGCAATATGTAACTCTTCTAAAAGTCATAGATAGTCTTTTCCCTTTTATACTTTCAAACAAAATGTTTAGCCGAACTAGTTCATGCTGATGTTTGTGGACTTGACCCCACTACGTCTCTTCAATGTTATAAATATTATCTTCTTTTGGTTTATTATTATTCTCATCTGGGTGTTTCCTATGGTTGTCAGATCCGAAACTACAAATAAACTCAACTCATTTCATAAAATGATTCAAAATCAATTTAGTAAAAACATTAAAATCTTACACAATGGTGGAGGTGGAGAATTCATATCTCACTCCCTGCACACTTATATACAACTTCATGGCATTCTCCATCAGTTTGGTTGCCCTACAAACCCCAACAAAATGGGCTCGTTGAGCATAAGCACGGCGCCTTATTGAAACTGCACCAACCCTTCTTTTAACAGCTCATCCAACCCCCAAGTTCTAGAGAGCTACTCTCATGACAGCAACTAATCTCATCAATAGAAAGCCCTTCACAACCGCTTCTTTAAAGTCCCCTCATGAACTACTCCATAACTCCCCACCGACCTACTATCACCTCGATATTCAGTTGCCAATGTTTTCCCTGGCAAAAACCACAAGCCTCACACAAAGTCTCTCCTATGGATCCACCATGTAGCTTCATTGGGTACTCTCCATCTAAAAAAAGCTACTATTGCTACAACTCGCAAACCCATCTTACAATTATCACTCACCATGTTAACTTCAAGGACCAAAGCTTTCCATTTCAAACCATCAACTCTCACTTTCCACCATCAAATACTCCTACTTCCATCATTCCTTCTACACTCCTTACTCCAACTTCCACACTTCCTAAAACCACAACATCGTCCACATCAGATGCAAACCTACCCACTAACCCCGTCCCCATCCCTCCTAACATCCTCTAAAAACCTCCAAACCAAACCCATTCCAGCACGTCCCACCATAGCAGTCCTCCCTACTGCTACCATACACCCATTGACAGTCAGATCCAAAATCAGACTACTCAAAGCCAAACAAATCCTCAACCTCACCATATCTGTCTACAACAGTGTTGACCCTACCTTCTATACTCAAGCAGTCAAACGTAGCCAATGGAGGCAAGCTATGACCTTAGAATTTTAAGCTCTACATGAGCAAGTCACTTGGATCTTGGTTGATCCCCCACCTCACCAAAACATCATAGGTCGCAAATGGACCTTCCAAACCAAATACAATTCAAATGGAACTGTAGCCAAGTACAAAGCTCGTATAGTTGCTCAAGTTTTTAAATAGCAAGAGGGCTTAGAGTACTTTGCTACATTCAACCCCGTTGCAAAGTTACCCACGCTTTGCATTCTCCTCACCATAGCTCTCCAAAACCAGTGAAAAATTTAACAACTTGATGTCACTAAAACTTTTCTTCATGGGTCATTAGAGGAAATATCTATGTGTCCAAACCTCAATGATTTTGTGATCAACAACACCCTCATCAAATATGCTTGCTGAAAAAGGCTCTCTATGGCCTCAAAAAATTGCCTCAATAGTGGTATCACATTCTCATCAATCACCTCTAAGTAAGACATTTTCGAAACAACATAGCCGACCCCTCCTTTCTCATCTACCAGCACTCTTTGGTTACTCTTTACTTTCTTGTCTATGTCGATGACATACTCATAACATGTAATGACCAAACCACCATAGACAACCTCATCCTTGATCTTCAAACTACATCCAACCTCTAAATTTTGGGATTGGTTAATACATTTCTTGGGATCAACATCCAAACCACTCCTCATGGTTATCTTGTTACTCAAACTCCCTACATTACCTCCCTCCTACAACAACTAGATATGTTATCTTGCAAACCAGTTAACACGCCCTTGCCTCACAGACCATTACCTGATTCTAAATCTCTTCATGAGCATCCCAATTCGACCCTATCACCAACTTTGCGTCTCACTTCAACACTTAACCATTACTAGGTCTGACATCACATTTACGGTCAACTACATATGCTAACAAATTAACAACTCCTTGGTCTATTACTTCCTGATCCTCAAATGCCTCCTTCCCTACTTGCAGAAAACATTGCATTTTGGTCTTCCACTCATCAAGACATGCTATTCTAACTCCGATTGGGCTGGCGACTACACTAATCAAAGCTCCATTGCAGGCTTCTATACTTTTCTTGGTCGTAACCTCATAGCTTGGAGAGTTCAACATCAAAAAACTATAGCACGCTTCTTCACTGAAGTTGAATACCGAGCCTTAGTTGTTGCCACAACTGACATCATGGCTTCGCCACGTACTTCAACAATTTTACATTGCCATCACACTTAATCCAACATTCCACTTCCACACCAAGCATATGAAAATTAACTAGTACTTTATTTGAGAGCACGTCTCTTCCAGTGACATTCAAATTTCACACATCAGCTCTCACATTCAGGAAAAAATATTACATCAGTACTACGCACGTAGAGGAACGTGCGTACCCAATGAAATCACGCCACGATATC